TGACATCTATGCCAATCTTCCTCTAGTTTACGTGGGATCCCGCCACAGCGAGGCCTGATGAGCAGTGCTAGATCCATGCCCAAGGTCCAAATCTGAGAAGCCCGGGCCACAAAAGCAGAGTGCTCAGCACTGGGCTGGCCCCCTTTCTTTTCTTAAATCGGGGGGTGGTTTAAAGGGTGTCCATTTCATTATTATGCTTCATGATTTATATAAAATGTCAGCTCTGGGAAGGCAAGGATTATTGTCTCGTTTTGTTCATGTCTGTGTTTCCAGCACCTAGATCTGGCACAAAGTAGGATCTCAATAAATATCTGTTGAATAAATGATATGCATTACTTGCATTCTTTTATATGATTGAAATATTTCATACTTTTTCAAAAGGAGAAAAAAACCTAGTTTAATCATGGTGCCCCCTTGATCATTCTAGCTGGAAGTCATACTGCCTCCTCAACTCCTATTATCTGTACGACTTATGAAATCTTGCTGCATTTTAGTTATAGATTTACATGTCTTTCTTACTGATTATAAATTTGTGAAGACAAGGGATTTTGCTTTCCCCTTTTTTATTCCCACTCACATTATGTAGCACAATACCTTGCAGATAGTAGATGCTCAATAAATAGCAGATTACTCAAAGTCACAGGAAACAACAGCAAACCAAGAAGAACAGATGTATGCTATCTATACATATATATTTTTTTTTTGAGGAAGATTAACCCTGAGCTAACATCTGCTGCCAATCCTCCTCTTTTTCGCTGAGGAAGACAGGCCCTGAGCTAACAGCAGTGCCCATCCTCCTCTACTTTATATGTGGGACGCCTACCACAGCATGGCTTGCCAAGCAGTGCCATGTCGGCACCCGGGATCCGAACCAGCAAAACCCGGGCTGCCGAAGCAGAATGTGCGAACTTAACTGCTGTGCCACCAGGCCGGCCCCAGTGCTATCTACATTTAAAGCTGAAAAAGAACTTAATAATCATCTAGTGTTTTCCTACATTTTGCAGGCGAGAAAACTGAAATCCAGAGAGGTGAAGTGATTTTCTCAAAGTCACATAATTAATTAGTAGTATTCCAAACTCTAGATTCAGATTTCTAGTTTGCTGTCCTCAGCTCTCCATAGTATATCACAACGACTTTTATTTTTTGTTTTATCTACGTGTGTTCCTTGGCTTGGGAGCCACCACATGGCAGGGACCAAATCTGTTCACATAGATACTTAATCATGGCTTCTAGTTAATATGTAGGACACGTGCAAATTCATCAAACAAATTCAAAGGAACTTAGGTTTTTCCCCAGCAAAAATTTGTTTGGCCATCCTTCTGCCACCAACTTTCCCACTGATCCCTCCCTCAGAAGCCTGGATACTAAAGACCCTTTCCCTTTCTCCATCTACTGTTCTCTTTCTCCAGAAGTAGGGAGGTTTACTGATGGCTCACAGTCCTGCTGTCCTGGGGAACCGATTTAGCAAGAGAAAGTAGAAAATCCATCAGTCAGTGCCCACCAGCCCCAGGAGCTTGAAATTAACAATCCCAAACAAATAAAGGAGTTCAAGACCTAAGAACAGTCCTTATCGGCAGTGCAAAGGTACCACTTCAACTTGTACCAAGTTGCCTGTTTAGCAGAAAAAAAGAGAATCCTAGAAAGTGAACACTGGATGAAACCTTAGAGATCACCTACTTCTCTCCCTGATTTTTCCAAATGAGGACACTGGAGCTTCCAGAGATGAAGTAACCCGCTGAGTTACTCAGCTAGTTAGCCGCAAGGCTGGGACTAGACTCCCCGTCTCCTGCCTCCAAGACAGCTGTTCTTTCCATGCCACGTGCTAGCAACATGGCATCTAGCAAAATGCCTCATACATGAGCCTCGTATTGGTTTCATCAGGAATGAAAAACAAATTATTCAAACCCTTCCTCTTCTCTCTGGCAATTTTTTTTTCTTTGCATTTCTTTGTGTCCTGGTCTCTTTCTTTGTATCCCTCTGATGTTTTTCTCCATGAATCCCTATCTCTGTTCGGGGTTTCAGACTGAACTGTGGCATGCCAGCATGACTGTCCGGATTTCTCTAAGCCACTGTGTTTCCTGTCCAAAGGCAAACGTGCATAAGCCAATGAAGACTCTTTCTTGGTGACCTTTGTGGAAAAGACTTAGAATTTCTATATGAGAGGTGCTGGACCTCCCTCCTAGCCTATCCTGTCAATTAAAATGAGTCTCTGGCGGCCCTGAGGGTTGTTAACCAATCCTAAGAAAGGAAAGATCAATCTCATTTCCTCGTCACCACTGTGCAGGGAGGCTGCTAACCAGTCAGACTCTGCCACTAACAGTCATTAGAAAAACTGGCCAATCAGGCCAAACTTGTTATATGGTCTGGTAGGAAAAGAAAGGGCTGACTGGAAAGGATAGTTCTGGCTCCACACCCTTTCCTTCCTGGACTCCAGTTTTCCCTCAGTGAAGTGAAGGAAGGACCCTTCACCAAACCCTAGGTAAAGAAGATTCCTAGACCCTTAGCTAATGTTCTCTTGGGTCATCTTCTGTTGCCTTCAAATTCACCCCTCCCGCACATGCCTCCATCCACTTCTTGTAGTCTCACTATTCCCCTACTGATCTTATTTCTGGCTTCAGACCTAGCAGAAATAGCCCCCAGGATTCTCAGCCCTCCCCACAGATCTCCACCTACCAACCTGTGAAATAACTTGTTTTGCATGATTTAAGCAGGTAAAAAAGTTCACTAAGTGATAGTTGTCTCTTTTGGGAGATATCATTGCAAAGACGTTGCAATAAAGTCTCTAGAGAGCAGAGCAGAATTGAGTTGCAATGCTCCTAACTATAACAACTGTTTTTATTGTTGTTATTATTATTGCTAGCATGTATGGAACTCTTACTGAGTTCCAAACACCTTGCCATAAGCTTCACGCATATTATCCTAATATTCGCTGTGGGGTAAGCACTATCATTATTCCCAATATACATAGGAGGAAACTGATTTAGAGGGCTTAAAACCTTGTCCAAGGTCACACAGGATTTGAGAACCCAGGTTTGTGTGAATCCAGAGCCCAGTGAATGGGAGTGAGGGAGAATCAAAGACTGCAGGCTGTCACAGCTTTGGGGAGCAGCCAGCTTTAGCTTCCTCACAGGCCTCTTCTCCAATCCTCCTTTGGGATTGTTAGCAGTATCTGAGAGGGGCCCGAAATTGTCACAGCAAACAGCTGCAAAGACCGTCTGGTGCCGGCGGCCCCTAAGAACTTTTCGCCTCGGAGGACGTGAAGCCGAGAGCTGAAAGGAATTCAGTATGGGCGAGGGTGGGGGTGTCTGCGGGCTTCAGGGATATCCTCGCTCGCCTGTCTTCCCTTTCCCCTCACAGCATCTTACTCGGTGCCTGGCCCCACTTGGTACTTGATAAATACCTGTTGATTGATTCGCCAGGATCCCAGCTCCTTTCCTCACAGACCCCCCACCCAAGTCAACAACTGGAGCGGGAGAGACATTTGGGGATTTCAGGGGAACCAGTGAGAATCCTCCTCGAGGTGGAATCGCGGATTTAGGAAAGGCGGGAAGTCCCCCACCCCTCTCTCCTCGCCCGCTTCTCCGGTTTCTCCCCACTCCTTCCCCTCCCTCTCAGGAACTCAGGGCCATAAAAATGCAGATGGAGGATCGGTGTGAAATAACGGGCCCATATAAATCCCTCTGCCGCCCGCCTGCAAGATGGATTGGCCGCATTGAAATTCCTCCGCGAGGATAATTAAACTCGGGGCCTCATCCGGGCAAAATTACATTCCTGTAATGGCGTCGCTCGGGGTCCCGGGAAATTGCTCCGTGGGCTTTCAGCGGCGGTTTTTATCGCCGGCCGGGGTGTGCCTGGCTGCGGCTCGCCTCTCCTCCGGGACCGTAAAGCTGCTGCCGTGATTTATCCTCCCCTTCTCCCAAATCCGATTAAATGGAGGAGCTCGGGGCCGGGGCGCCGCGGGGCCCGGGAGCCGGGAGGGGGCGGCGGGAAGGACGGGGCCAAGGAGGGGAGGACAAACGGCCCCGCAGAGGGTGGCGGATTTAGCTTTATTTACAGCCGCGGCTTTCTTTTTTTTTTTTTCATTTTTTATTTTTTATGGGGGTTTGGTGAGCTTTCCCCGTCTTTCTCGGGCTGTGTTCAAGCCCGATGTCTGGCCGGCTGGGGTCTGGACAGGGGGGCAACTAGGTAGGCCTTGCCGCACTCGTCTTCCTAAGGGGCCGGGCAGACCCTGTCTGGGGGACAGAGGCCCAGAAGAAGAGATGAGGGCCGGGAAGGCCCCCACTTCCTTCCATCGGGGAAAGGACACGAGGGGGAAGCCGAGGGGCTTCCATGAGAGCACCTCATGGAGGGTCTGCTTGTGTCAACTCTGGTAGATGAGCCTGGGCAGAGGCACGGGCGTGCCTGGGGTGACCTCGCCACTCACTGCAGGTCGCTGATGCCCGTTATTCCTTGTCCGTCTCAGGACTCGGGAAAGAAGGCTTAGGGTTAGGGGGCTTGAGTCCCAATCATCTTCAGCCCCTATCATCTGGTGCGCTGATGCTGCTTCCCTCATGGCTGATCACTGGGATGAGAAAGGGAAATAAAGGCGAAGCCACCAAGGGCAGCTGGGGCATTTTGCTGTTTGCCCATTGAACAGGTTTCCCGTCCGTAAAGCCAGGGTCCCGGGCCAGCAGAAAGAAGGAATCCCACGACTTCATTTTCCTCCTGCTACATTTTGGGCACTGAACCCCAATCCCGATTGTGTGCTATTTAACACTGAGTTTCTGAGTAGGTTTTTTTCCTCTTTTTGCAATGTGACTGCGCATGCTTGGAAAGGGAACTCGAGTCCAAGATCCAAACGCTGTGCAGACCAAACCGCAGGCCACGTTACAGATCGTCTTACACTGCGGAGTTGTCCTCGTTTCTGCACACGGTCGGCTCCGCCTGCAGTTTCTCCTCTCCAACGCCAGGTGGAGCGACTGATCGGATGCCACCACAGAGCTGGCAGGCGGCGCTGTGGCGCCGGGGCCGACCCTCAACATTGCAATCCCTCTATCCTTGGCGGAGCGACTCGTTGGTCCGGGCCGCGCAGGCGCCGAGCCTTCCTTTCGCTATTCCCGCCCCCCGCCCCTCTCTGTGTTCTCTGCAGTGGGAGCAGGTAAGGCCTTGGACCCTCGCGCCCGCGTCGCGCTGCGCAGGCGCGCGGGCACCCCACTTCGCGCGGATGCTTTGAGGCCCTTACCTTGCATGCTCCCACCCCGGTCCTCACGCCCCCTCTTGCTGCTGGTATCCCCGCGCCTTAGGGCTGCCCCTTCCGCGTGCTGGTGACCTCCAACCGCGCGCGCCTGGCGCCATCTTGGATGTCCCGTCGGGGGAGGGTGCCTTGGACCCGGCGAAAGTCGCATCCCAGAGTGTTCATTTCACCTCTTACGACTCAGCCCTTATAAACGCTCTTTTCTCACCCTCTTGCCCGTTCAGAGTTGTCACCATCCCCAGAGTCCCCCCCTCCTCCCCTCTCGATTCGTGCCTGCCTTGTCCTGAAACCTTCAGACTTTCGGCCCCAGCACCTCAGGTGCCGAGCAGTGGAAATAGTAGATCGTCTAAAGCCACCAACTCCTCTAGTCAGCGCCCCTCCATTTAAAAACTAAACCGTGAACGTGGCAGAAGTGAACAGAACAGTCCAGCCCTTGAGGCTGTGGCCCGGGAGAGCTATGGCAGAGAAGAGGCCGGTTTCCTTGGAACCATTGGTTCTCTCCCACTACTGTTCTCTTCCTTCCACTCCGGGGAAGTTGGAAAGAACGCAAACGATGGACTAATAGGTTTTCCATTGGAGGTAGCAGCCCCAAAAGGATGGGACAGTGCCAGCAGGGGATGGTCCCCACATGCCAGCTCTCCTGTCAAGGGTTTACTAGGAGTGCCCAGACTCGGCCTTCAAGAGGAAAAGAAGGTTTAAGGAAGGGAGTGGTTAAGTCAGCAACCGTTTATTACCATGACTCATCGACACTGAGGAAGAAACCCAGGATGATTTAGGCCCTCTGGTTCTGGATAGTGCCTGATCCGAGGTGGTGTAGGCTGACAATTGCAGACTTGGCCAGGCTAGGTGACCACTGAGGGCATCTGCACTGCATGCTGGCTTCCTTAATTGCCACCCTTTGCTGTGGGCTTATTACATGCCAGCACCACATTCGGTTCTTTACATATGTTATTTCATTTAATCCCCCTAAGAACTGTATTTTACAAATGATGATATTGAGGTTTAATTGCCTTGGGAAAAAACGGTGCTCCCTTTTTTTTTTTTTTTTTTTTTTGAGGAAGATTAGCCCTGAGCGAACTACTGCCAGTCCTCTTTTTGCTGAGGAAGCCTGGCCCTGAGCTAACATCATGCCCATCTTCCTCTACTTTATATGTGGCACGCCTACCGCAGCATGGCTTGCCAAGCGGGATCCGAACCTGTGAACCCTGGGACACCGAGAAGCGCAACGTGCGAACTTAACCGCTGCGCCACCGGGCTGGCCCCCCAGTGCTCCCTTTTTTAAAGCTGTAAAGAAATTTGGGGTTTTAACCCAAGAAAACCTGAATAATCGGACAGGTTGAATTGGATTAGAGTTACATATGGGTCAAAATTAGAGTTCTAGACGGGACAAGAGTTGAAGATATCCTTTAATCTAGAAGTAACTAAGATTCTGGATTCAGAAGTGTAACCTGGGAAAATATGAGTCCAACTCATTTAAGGAAGTGTCATTTAACATGCCTAAATAATCATGGTATTTCAACCTGTAGCATATTAGAAAGCATTGAGTTAAGAATGAGAAGAGTTCAAGACTGGTTTTAAGACTGTGCTCTCAGTATACCTAAGAATCATTTGAGAAGCTTGTTTGAAATACAGGGTACTTGCACCTTATCCCCAGAGATCTTGACCAGGAAGGTCTAAGGCCCAAGAATATGCATTTTTAATTCATACATCATCCCTACCCCCAGATAACTCTAGTTCAGATGGGCCTCTCACTTGAGAAACCCACTTGTAGGTTTAATTTTAACTCACCCACTCTTCTCGGGTAAGTTCAATTCTACCAGCTTAAGTGACTACAGAGTGTCAGCATTATTTTAGATCTTTGGGATACAAAATTGAATACCCCTTAGTGTGATGGTGAAAACAAATACTTTAATAGTCATTGCTAATTAGAGTACAGTTACCTGTCGCTTAACAACAGGATGTGTTCTGAGAAATGCATTGGTAGGCGATTTTGTCGTTGTGTAAACGTCATAGAGAGCACTTATACAAACCTTGATGCCATGGCCTCCCACACACCTAGGCTGTACGGTGCTAATCTTACGGCCGCTGTTGTGTGTGTGCTCCCTCGTTGACTGAAATGTTGCGCAGCGCAGGACTACTGGCAGCTCCTCACTGATACGCTCACCCTGTTAATGTAAAAAACAAGTATTTTGAGGAACCAAATAATTTCTTTCAGGTAATTCAGGAAAAAGATTGTTGGAGACCGTTGCAGTGTCTTGGCCTTCAACAAAACTCTCCCAAGAGTCTTTAAAGGCCACTTTTTTAGGCCCAGACAATGAAGTCTTGAGAAGGATTCCTTTTGAATGGAAACTGAGGAAAACTTAGGCAGAGGACATTGGGGAGATTCCTCTGACAACCCCAACTCACGTGGCTATGGAAATGGATAACAGGTCTTAAAGCTGGGACCAAGTGGCTGTTTGTTCAGACCAGGGCAAGTCACTTGATTCTAAGGAAATCTTGGAAGCTGTGTGGAGGAAATCTTGACTTCAGGGTTCTAATTCCATCTTTGCTGATGGCTTGAGGTCAGTCCCTCTGCTCTCTAGGCCATTTAAATTTTCCAGAGCACCTTTTCTGCCTATAAGGATGACCTTTGGTGCGCAAGGACAGTATTTACAATGCTGCTTCTGTAATTCCAGCTCTCCTGCCACAGCCCCTCATCCCCTGAAAATGTATGCCTGCGCCAAGTTTGTCTCCACCCCCTCGGTGAGTACCTCCCTTTTCTAGGAGAGGGTTTTTTTTTTTTTAAGATTTTATTTTTCCCTTTTCTCCCCAAAGCCCCCCAGTGCATAGTTGTATATTTTTAGCTGTGGGTCCTTCTTGTGGCATGTGGGATGCCTCCTCAGCATCGCTTGATGAGCAGTGGCATCTCCGCGCCCAGGATCCTAACCGGGGAAATCCTGGGCCGCCGAAGCAGAGTGCACGAACCCAACCACTTGGCCACAGGGCCGGCCCCTCCAGGAGAGTTTTTAAGGAGCGGTGTCTTGTCTCTTCCTTCTCAGACTTTGTTCTTCACAGCTGGGCTCAGGGAAGGCCCTTTGCTGTGCTAGCCTGGCAGGTGAGAGTGAATGCTTACCATTCACCCCCCTGCCTCATATCCCTTGGAGGCCAGTTAATTCTTCTCATCCAGCCATCTTAAGAGTAAGAGTATAAATGAGAATCTAAACTGAGATCAAGTTATTCCTATCCTGCAACTCTGTGTTCGTATAAACTGGAACCCAGCCAGAAATGGTAAACATGAAGTAGATTGCCTCACATGGACTGGATACACGCTGTGTATAGGATCTTGTCCTGAGCGTCAGAGAGCCACAGCTAGGCGTTCCTTCTGGGAGCTTAAAGTTGGGTGGGAAGCTCAACAGCAGATAAATACACACAGGAAAAATATTTGACTCAGAAGAAATTAGAAATTATTAGATGGTGCAGGCAATTGGTTCATCCATCCATAAGTGAAAAGGAGCAATGCTATTAGTGGGTACCATTTATTGAGCACTTAGTATGGCCAGCACTGAGTTTTACCAGTTTGTATACATAATCTCAGTTACTCCTCCAGTCAACCCTGAGATATATTATTCCCATTTGATAGATGAGAAAGTAGACTTAGAAGGACTTAAGTGACTTGTCCTAAGATCACACAGCTGACATAGAGCTAAAATTTGAGTCTAGATCTGTCTGACTGAAGCCCTGGCTGTTAAACTACCGTGTTGTCTGCTTTGGAGACACTGGCTTGGGATTAGTCAGAAAAGGCTGCCAGGCGGGGGTGAATTTTAGGCATGGATCTTTGTGCCAGTTTTCCAGAAGGATGTGTTTAGGGAAGGATGCTCCAATCATTGGCTTCCTTCTTATGGGCTGACCATTACCAATATATCTCTATTACTGAGTGAAGCAAACGCTTCTGAGGCTTAGATTTCTTCCCATTCTCAAGGCCTGTAAAAGGGTTCAACGCAGGTAGGTAATTCCTTCCAAAAGGAAGTAGACTTTCTTCTCTCTCTCTCTCTGTCTTTTTTTTTTTTTTTTGCTAAGGAAGATTCGCCTTCAGCTAACATCTGCCAGTCTTCCTCTATTTTGTATGTGGGTTGCCACTACAGCATGGCTGCCGACAAGTGGTGTAGATCTGCACCCAAGAACCAAACCTGGGCCACTGAAGCAGAGCAGGCCGAACTTAACCACTAGGCCTCAGGGCTGGCCCCTAGACTTTCTTCTCTTAAAGCAAAGGAGATGCCTGAGAAATGAGAGAAATGATGTGGTTCCTGAATCTAGAATTTGGTAAAAGTAAAAGAATGATCCAAGATTCTGTTTAAGTTGGGAAGAATGAAGGGGGCATCCAAGTAACAACTTGGGATGGTTCTGAAACTCCTCTCCAGAGCCTTCCTTGACCATCTTGCACTTGTGTTGTTTCACTAGGTCAGGAGCACCTCTCAGCTGCTGAGCCGATCACTGTCTGCAGTGGTGCTGAAACGACCGGAGACACTGACAGATGAGGTACCTTATAGGTGGAATCGGGCCTGTGGTTTGGGGGTAGGGGGTAAGGAGGGTTACCTGGCAGAACCATAGGGGGAGTGCTGAGGACATCATCACAGACTAAAATTAGTGAAGGGTCAAGGCCATTGGCTTTAGTTAAGATAGAGGACAGTTGATACCATATATGCTCCAGTGTTCCAGCTTTTGCCACTGACAGCACATGCCCATGTGTGCTGCTGCTAACTGCCATTACCTGACCTAGTTTACTGACTTCAATTGGGAGCATTTAGTCCCAGAAGATGATCTTCTTGGGGCACCAAGAACAGGCTAGGGCTTCAGTCTCTGACTTCTCAACCATACCTGAATTTTGAAGGTATTTGACATCCACCTCTTGCATTAAAAAGTTCTGCTTGGCAGCATTGTAGGGAGTTAAAAGACTTTTCTGTTTGGGGGAGAAACCATGGGATTTGATAGCACCAGGAGTTTCAATGGTATAAAAGTTTCCAAAGCAAAAAAGGAGTTTCCTAAAAACTTTAGTTTCTGTCTGCTTCTTCACAGACCCTCAGCAGCTTGGCAGCCCCACGTCCCCTGACCTCACTTATTCCTAGCCGCGGCTTGCAAACCAGCGCCATTTCAAGGGACATCGACACAGCAGCCAAGTTCATTGGGGCTGGGGCTGCCACAGTAGGGGTGGCCGGCTCTGGGGCTGGAATTGGGACTGTATTTGGGAGCCTCATCATTGGTTATGCCAGGTAAGATGGACCCTCCGTATGCTTCCAAAGGTCTGGGCAGAACTATTTGCGGATCTATAGCTGCATTATCCTATATAGTAGCCGCTAGCTACATGTGGCTATTTGAATTTAAATTTTAATTAAAAGCACACAGGGTTTAAATTTTGTGTACTTTTAATGTGGCTCAGTAGCCACATGTGAGTAGTGGCTACCATATTGGAGAGTTCTATTAAACAGCTTTGGTTTAGAGTAGGAGTGGGCCAACTAAGGCCAGAGGGCCATATCTGGGCCACAGCCTCGTTTTGTATAGCTGAGCTAAGAATAGGTTTTACATTTTTAAAGGGTCATGGGGAAAAAAACAGGCAACAGAGACCATATGTGACACACAAAGCCTAAAATATTTATCATCGAGCCCTTTACAGAAAAAGTTTGCTATCCCTGCTCTAGAGCCTCAGTCAGCATAGTGGCTTCGCTGCTGTTTTTCCCCATCCCCAGGAATTCCCCCCGTCACTCCTGGGAAAACTGCCTGTGCAGCCAGCCCCACAACTCCCTGACACTTGGGTCCTCACCAACTCTGGGCAACTCACTGTTAGAACTAAATTAATCCTCTGGAGACCCACAAGTTCTCTTAATGTCTTGGGGAAATAGGTTTATTTTTTAGGATTTGTGTGAAACAAGAAGCCTCACTGCTGCTGTGTCCATGATTCTGTTAAGAGCTGGTGTTGCTTTACCTTATCCATCAAGGCTTCCAAGGGTGACAGAGTAAGGGAAATAGAAGTTATATATTGACTTTCAAAGTTGGAAGTCCTGAGTCCCATTTTGATTTATATCGTCTAAACCTCACAGATCATTTATAGCTTCTTAAAGCCTGAAGTCTTGACTATTTTGAAATGAGAGAAGGTAGTCTGTCCCTCCAAACTCCCTTGTCCTCCAAAACAGAGTATTTCTAATTGTGTTCCATAAAGCCCTCGGGTTCTGAGAACGCGCCCCAGAGACTGCCTTAGAGAGTGAATGGGAGGCAGTCGAACAAGCCTTTAAGATCCCCTACTTTGATGCAATGGGTGATCCACTAGAGGAGGTAATGTTTGTACCTGGGCCATGTTAGAGAATTTTGGATTGTCCACTCCCTTCATTCGGTCTCTGTAGAGCCCTCAGGGTAAGAATTGGGCATGATGGTGTCACTCTGAGAGACTCATTACATAAGATGAGCTTGTGGAGGTGAATTCTCCATGAGCCCAGCTTTGATGTTTATCCTTTTCTTGGCGTGGGGTAGAAATTCAGTCATTTCTCCTCCCCTTCTCCCAGGAACCCTTCTCTGAAGCAACAGCTCTTCTCCTACGCCATTCTGGGCTTTGCCCTCTCCGAGGCCATGGGGCTTTTTTGCCTGATGGTGGCCTTTCTCATCCTCTTCGCCATGTGAAGAAGCCGTCTCCACCTCCCATAGTTCTTTCTCCCGTGTCTCGTCTGCCCTGTGTGTTCCTTTTCCTATACCTCCCCAGGCAGCCTGGGGAAAGTGGTTGGCTCAGGGTTTGACAGAAGGAAGACAAATAAATACTGTATTAATAAGATGTTTCTTGAGTCTCCTGTGTGTATTTCTTTTCCACAGTTGGCTGAGTGCCTCGGAAGGAGTCTAAGGCCTGGAGGGTGGTGACGGTTCTAAACTTCACATGGGTCTGGGGCCCCTTGTTCTTCGTTCTCTATGTCAGGCAAGCTTTATTTATTGGTTCTTCTTTTTAATAATTTTCACCTGGATGGCCTGTTACTTTGACCTGTTGGGTCAGTAGCAACTTACTGTGCTGGCTTAAAATTTTGAGTAATGGGCTCTGTTCCCACTGCCACTCTCCTGGCTTTCACTGCCACTCTCCTGGCTCAGGCCTTCATTGCCACCCACCTGGTCTATTGCAATAACCTCTTAACTGGCCTTCTGCCTCCAGTCTTCCCTCTAGCATTTCCTTCTACCCACCACTGCCAGGTTAATCCTCCTTAAGCATAGGACTGGTTTTGCCATTTACCAATTCAAAAACAGGCTGACCTCAACTTTCTCAGCTTTATCTTTTCTTATTCCCATACAGTCTACCCAAAGTGAACTGTTTGTCATTTTTCAGATACTTTCCTGTCTCTGGGCCTTGCCCTTTGGCCATCTCTGCTTTCTTTACTTGAATCTTTGCTCACTTTCCTCTTTCTCAAACTCTCCTTATTCTTTGTTGTTATTGTTTGTTTTTGTGAGGAAAATTGTCCCTGAGCTAACATCCATGCCAATCTGCCTCTATTTTGTATATGGGACCCCACCAAAGCATGGCTCCCAGGATCCAAACCCGTGAACCCCGGGCCACCGAAGCAGAGCACACAAACTTAACCTCTATGCCACCAGGCCAGCCCCTCAAACTCTTATTCTGAGAGGCAGCTTAAATGGTACCTCTTCCTCTCTTGAAGCTTTCATCTGGTTTCCATCTGCCTTCAGTCAAATAAGCATTAATCCATATAAATGGCCGTAGAGCGTGTTGTATCCTTTGTACTGCTTGTGATCTATGATAAATTGGATTTGTGTGTGCATGAGCGCATGTGTGTACACCTTTTCTTCTAAGTTAGATTATCAGTTTCTTGAGGCAGGGACTATGTCATGTTCATCTGTGTATCCCTACAAGTATCTGGCATGACGCATCTCAGCAATATTTTAGTCACATTTTTTATTTAATCATCTAACCAACCACCTCACTTCTCAAGTGAGGAAACTGACACTTTGGGAAATCAAAGGATTCTCTGAGGAACATTCACCCGCAGAGCTGGAGCCAGAGCAAGGATCATGTCTTATAGCCCAGGGTGTAAGACCACCACACTGTTGGTCTTGTGGGACTCTCCCCTAGGCCACTGTTGCCCGAGCAAGAGGGAGAGGGCAGGGTAAGCACAGATAAACCTTTTCCCTTAAAAACGCCTTGAGGGACTTTGGACAGTGGGGTTAGTATAAAGGTAAAGAATTATCTTTTCTAAAGGCTAGATAAACTTTAAGCCTTGCACATACTTGAAATAACAGGGTATAAATTGAAGTCCTTTCATGATAATGTAGACCACAACGGTTTTTTTGGTTCAATAAATGACTAATTAAAACCCAGGGCCAAGACTTGACCCCAGAGTAAACTGAATCTCAGTAAGCAGGTCCCCCCAAATCATTCCCCCTTGCCCTTTTGCTCTTGTGATCAGGGTTGAGAGGGATCCTATCCGCATTTGCTTCCGGATTACTTTCCTACTCCCAAATAACTATATTCTGGACTGTGGGGCTCTAAGTGGACCTCACAAGAACAGCTCCTCCAGCCAAGAGGAGGTGGAAAGTGCGTACTTGGAGATGAGGAATAGCCCTCTTTTTTTTTTTTTTTTAAGTGTGGTCCAGTAACCACTGAACTTTTTATTGGCTTACTGCTCCCCAAAGGGTACCCTGCTTCTGCGGCCTCAATGCCTCAGAACTTTGGTGTCATTGGTCTCGGACACCAATCTGCCATCCACAATCCTGCGGGGGGTGGTCTTCTGGATAGTTTGTAAGGAGCTGTTGCTGTCCAGGGCGTCGCCAAGACTGAAGTCCTCCCCGGCTTCCAGCAGGCGGCGGTAGGTGGCGATCTCAGCCTCCAGCTTGATCTTGATGTTCAGCAGGGCTTCGTACTCTTGGGTCTGGCGTTGGCCCTCTGCCCGGGTCTGGGCCAGCTCTGACTCCAGGTGCCGCAGGATCTCATTGAGCTGCTGCATCTGCATGGCGAAGCGGGCCTCCACCTCCCTCAGGTTGTTCTCCAAGCTGGCCTTCAGATTTCTCATCGAGTTCAGGTCGATCTCCAAGGACTGCACCGTGTGCCTCAGCTCCTTGAGTGTGGCCTCAGCAGTGCCTATCTCTGCAGTCTGCGTGGTGACCACTATGGTGCTCTCAATCTGCTGAGACCAGTACTTGTCCAGCTCCTCTCGGTTCTTCCGAGCCAGCTCTTCATACTGGGCTCGGATGTCCGCCATGATCTTGCTGAGGTCCTGAGATTTGGGGGCATCCAACTCTGTGGTCAACCCAGAGTTGGTAATCTGGTTCTGAAGACTCTTCACTTCCTCCTCGTGGTTCTTCATGAAGAGCAGCTCCTCCTTGAGAGCCTCGATCTCCATCTCCAGCTGCAGCCGAGTGACAGTGGTGTCATCAATGACCTTTCGGAGCCCATGGATGTCACTCTCCACAGACTGGCGCATGGCCAGCTCCGTCTCATACTTGACTCTGAAGTCATCAGCAGCAAGACGGGCATTGTCAATCTGCAGAACGATGCAGGCATTGTCCACAGAATTTGCAAAGATCTGAGCCCTCAGCTCCTCAATGGTCTTGAGGTAAGGCCCCCAGTCTCGGATCTGGGGCCCCTTCTTCTCCAGGTGTTCCCGGATCTTGCTCTCCAGTCTCCGATTCTCAGTCTCCAGGCTCCTTACCCTCTCCAGGTAGGAGGCCAGGCGGTCATTCAGGTCTTGCATGGCCTCCTTCTCACTCTGGATGCCTCCTACGCCCACCAGACCCCCGGCCATCCCCGCGGCCAGACCCCAAGCCCCCCAGCTGCCCCGGAAGCTGGAGGAGCGGGACACGGAGATGCGGGAGCCCGAGCCCCCGGCGCCTGCATAGACACTGGCCGCGCTGCTGACCGGCCGGCCCCAGTGGCTGGGCGACTGCACGGAGCCGAGGGACCGGTAGTTGGTGGAGAAGGTGGAGCGGGCGCTGAAGCTCATGTTGTTCGCGCGGGAAAGCGAGAGGCTGGGACTCAGGTTCTGGCCGCCAGAATAGCCCTCTTTTTGTTTTGGTGACCTGAGTTTAACCTCTGGTGGGTGCCTCTGTGGCCCATCCCTTCTCAGATCATCAGGTCAGAGTCACCTGTGCTTTATTTCTCTCCTTGGCCCTTTCTTTGGGATTGAATCTAGCTAACCCCTTAACAACTCAGGTGCTTGGAGAGAGTATGGCTTGGTGGCCCACGTGGGGGTTTTTTTGCTCTCTGAGGTGAGCGATGAGATGGTGCTGCAAGAAGCTTGGAAGCAAATTTCTTCAGGAAGAGTCAAGGCAACCTCCTTTCAGGCCCCAAGAGATACTTCTTGGCAACTCAAGTTTCCAACAGCTTGAGGCAGAGGAGTGCTGTTTTAGTAGAGAGGATCCAAGAGCCAATTTTCTGAAGATGTTCCCAACTTTGATAACATAGAATGAAAGCTTTCTGCTTGTTCTTGTAGTTTTAGAAAGAGCACATGATTTGAAATCAGGAAATGTTAGTTCTAATCTTTCCTTTTCATTGGGCACTGAGATGTTGGGCAGATCACTAACCAATAACTTTCTAGAACTTCGGTTTCTCCCCACCTACTAAATAGGGATAATAATTCTCATCCCAGGAGTTATGTGTGTGCACCAGGGGTACCTTGAGTCTTTGGAAAGGGTGGTGCTGTCAAAGTTCAATGTATATTGATTATAATTTGCTTTCTCATTCTCCAAGGAGCTCAGAGCACATTATAGGCATTTTTTTAGACAGTTTCTCCCTCTTTTATGGTTGACAGAAAAGAGAACTGACTTTCCTAAATTTATAAAGTCTGGCCATAAAGCCTCTGGAGAGAAAACCCCTGGGGCTTGCTCTCCTCCTTACTCCTGTTTCTTCGAGTTAGTTGTGTTTCTTCAGTACCAGGGGAGGAGTGCCATCCTAATTAGAAGAAAATGATGTCCTTTGAAAATCATCTAAATGCTGAACCGCATTAATGAGGAACCCTGTTCCAGCCTTCCTTTCAGGATTCATTTAGTTTGAGGCCTTCTCAGGTCATCAGGATGAGGAAGCTGCTCAGCAGCCACACTGGTGATTTAGCTTAAATTAGTGTCCAGGAACCCAAAGCCTGCTTTGTGTCTTACCTCCATTCAACAAAAAAGATGAAAGAATATTCAAGTTGAATTCTGAAATAGAAAAAGGAAGAAGAGTACCATCACACTGGTGAGTAGAGAATACTGTCTTAGTCTTCCAAGTTTTGAGCAATGAAACTTGGTCTTTATTGAGCCATATCTAAAAATATGCGTTTTCTAACATGTATTCTTAGAACACGCTCTTGGGCAGCTTGGTGTTGTCACTGTTTGATGAGGAAAAACTAAAACATAGGAAGATTTTTTAGTCCCCACGCATTTCTTAAATGTCTTTATTTTTGAGCATAACCTCAAGGTACTGTGAGTCTTAGTACATTGTGATCACAACAGCCAGTTTATGAATGGCAGAAGACGTGATCGACAGAGTGCTAGGGATGAGGTCAGGCCTCCCACTGCAAATGCTTGGCTTCTTATTAGTGTAAATGGTTAGTTACAGATAGTTTGTTCTCACTTCCTTCCTCCTTCTACCCCAAAAGAGATCATTCCCTTTCATCTTTTGAATAAGTACTGTGGTAGGCAGAATTTTTTAAATGACTTCTTAAATATATCCTGCTCGAATCCCTGGACCTGTGAATTTGATGAGATGTCATGTCCATGGTTATGTTATATTACATGACACAGTTGACTAAGGGAGACTGTCTACGTGAGCCTGATCTCATCACATGAGCCCTTACAAGCAAAGA